ACAGAGATCCACCTGCCTTTGCCTCCTGAGTGCTGGGACTAAAGGTGTGGGATTCTAGAACCTGTATGAAAAGGTCAATAGCTTAGGAAGGCCAAACTCACAGAGATCCACCTGCCTTTGCCTCCTGAGTGCTGGGACTAAAGGTATGGGATTCCAGAACCTGTATGAAAAGGTCAATAGCTTAGGAAGGCAAGCAGTTTGCCAAAGATTCATCCCCAAATGGGCACTGGGTCTACAAGTTGTTCTAGTAAATCCTTCAGAGTAATAATAAGTCTCAGAAACTATACAAGTTACTGAACGAGGCCATTTCATTAAAGTTATTTGTGTATATGTAATTCTCAAAATGAATTTTTTTCCCTAGGACTAATTGAGTGTTTTGGTCCTGTAGTCCTAGCTGGCTTGGAACTATGTAAACCAGGCTGGCTTTGTACTCACAGAGATCTGCCTACCTCTGTCTCTAGAGTGCTGGGACTAAAGGGGTGTGCCATCATGCCCAGCATGGAGTCTTTAAATAAATATAAATTGAAAATTTACTGATCAAAACTTGCATTTTATTTATAAACTTTTTCTAGATGAGCATTACTTCTTATTAGACAACTAATAAAATACATGATACACAATAGTTTTTCATATTTTTGAGGCTGGGTCTCAACTTTATAGCCCGAACTGGCCTTGAACTCATGACCCACCTGCCTTTGTCTCCCAAGTGCTAAATTACAGGTGTGCACCACCATACATAGCCTTATAATCACACATTTAAAACATAGAAAGGCAACCGTTATCTTCTTGTACATGAAGATAAACTTCAAAGACAACATGAAATAGAGCTAAAAGGACTTAAACTTTCCTTATAAATTTCTTACTTAGAAGAGGAATTTCTGTTTAGGAGATGTTTTTGCTGACTGAAAAATCTAACAAAATGTATATAAGGTCATAATGATTCACAAAGTTATAAGCTTTAGATTAGCTCTTGTATACCCTAAATGAGGTTTGTATTCAATGAAAAGTTTTAAAAAGTCCACTGATGTGTGAAAAAAAGAAAACGCTTTTTCAAATACTATGAAGAACTTTAAATCTATTCCCAGAATAGTGAATTAACATTAGAGAATATATCAGCTACTCTCTAAGGTTAATAATAATCACAGGTATTATCACTAGAAATGTCTTTTGTTTCTTTTGTGGCCTTTATCACTGTAGTAAAATATAAAAACCAATCTAATGCTAGGCATGGTGGCTAGTGACTTTAATCCAAGGCCTTGGGCAGGTAGACCTTTGTGAGATCAAGGCCAGCCTGATCCACATACTGACTTCCATGCAGGATGAGACTAGGGAGAACCTGTCAAAAACAACCAACTAAACAAACAAAAAACCAATCCAATGTTTTTATGGCCCTGTCTTCAAGCTAGTTAATACCTTACAAAAATAAACTTCTAGAGAGAAAGTTGGTTTAAGGCTCAGTGAACAGTAACTGGAAAAATGTAACATTTTTTCCTCTTTAGAGAATATGAACTTCAGCATTTCTTTTGTGAACTTTATATTATTCTGTCCAAACCCTAAAGAAATATTAAAGGATGGCAAGTGGCCCCTAAAAAAAAAAAAAAAAAGCAGCCACAGGAGCTGGGCATGGTGGTGCATGCCTTTAGTCCTAACACTCGGGAGGCAGAGCAGGCAGATCTCTGTGAGTTCAAGGCCAGCCTGGTCTACATAGTGAGTTCCAGGCCAGCTCTCAAAAAGACAAAAAAAAAAAAGCAGCCACAGGAAACGAATGTACTCGCTCATGTCTACTCTAGGGCTCCTGCCCTGGGTCATTACCTCTCCAGTACTTTGAATATTTGGTACCTCCTCATTTAGACCTTAGCTCAAATGTCACCTCCTCATCAGAACCCCTGAGCCTCCATCATATCATCCTCTTTTGTTTTTTGACTTTTTTCTCTAGAGCCCCCAGCCTTACTGACATCCAATCTTAGTAACTTAAGGCTCATTTCATACTTTGGACCATGGAAAGAGAACACTTGTCCAGGGAGTGGGGACAGGTGAAACACTACAACCCACAGTATTATCTACCCAGGCTGCTATAACAAAACACCACAGACTGGGTGGCTTAAAGAACATTTATTTTCTTACAGTTCTGAGGCTGTAACTCCATGATCAAAGGGCCAATCCTATCAGATCAGAGCCCACTAATTAAGATGCCATTTAACCTCAACTATTTCCTTAGGAGTGCAGCCACATTGGGGATTAGGTGCAACAACCTAAGACAGCCCATAGCACATAGTAAACACTGCATCATGGATTTATAGTTTTGATTGTCCCCAGTGTCCTTTGATCTAGGCCCTGATGGTAAAGTAGGTCTTGACATCCCAGGGTAACTTGCTGAGGTATTAGAATCTTGCTTTATTTCTTGTGAACTTAAACTTAACAATGAGGCTAGCTAAAGCTGGTGGCATGCTGAGTGTTTCAGGGGTATAGGGAGTGTTCACATATTCACTGCAACATCACTGGTCTGTGTTTGTGAATGGGTCAGCCAGGCCTTGGGCCATGCCCCTTAAGTCCCT